TCAACTATTAAAATTACTATAATATCCACAAAACCCTTTCTGAAAAAAAATTATTTAATTTAGTAACTACATTTTCTCTAAGGTCTGTAACAGCATCAAATATTTGCAAAGCTTTTAATCACCGTAACTGTCTAGTAAATAATAAGTAGTCATAGTTGTTATGGCCTGGCGAAGATTACGTTACGAGTAACTTCTGAAACCTATTAACGGACTAATATTATCTATATATTCTTATGGTATAATTATTCAGTAACTAGATTATATATATTTGTATTCCACTTATTATAAGCTTTAATTTGACTCATAGATTATTACTATACGATTTATTATTCTTGAGTTATGATCTGTCTATTAATTACTATCTCCCACGTTCACAGCCACTTTTGTACCGCAGCATACGTTTTACCGGTAATCACATAAAATTTGAAGGCTGTTTTTTCCCATCAGTTTCTATCAACACATATATCCATATTCCTGCTCAGACAATACAATCATGAAGATAGCTTCCAAAATCATAATCAAGGCACATACTGGGAATTAATGACTTGTGTTATTTCCCATATAATAACTTATTTTCTCTTTCCAGGTAATCAATTTTTAAACAATGACTTAGTTCAAATAACTTATTTAAATAAAGTGAACAAACCTTATCATCATTATTAGTTAATTGATGTGATTAGGAATTTACGTAAAATCACATATCATACAGTGAAGGAAATAATATTGGATATTGAGATGGTGGAGAAGATTTGTAGCTCAGGTGGATGATTTTAGTGGAGTTTTGTTCTCTGAACTGGATGGTTTGGTCGCGGAGCTTTCATCGTTCTTCTGAACGACATCATCAGTACAAACTTCAGATAGAAGTGAAGTGTTCGAATTTCTCCATATGCGTTTCACAGCTTGTTCTGTGCACCTCGATGTTGATTGGTTCTTATTGACCTTAAATTTGTCATTGTTTACTTTTTTGTCTTGATTTTGTCTCCTATTGGTTTGATTCTTCTATCTGAAGTTTGTGCTGATGATGTCGTTCAGAAGAACGATGAAAGCTCCACGACCAAACCATCCAGCCCAGAGAACAAAACTCCATCAAAATATTGGATATTCTATGATTGCGAAGTAAATGTTCTAACCAGAGTTTTGTTTGAGATCACTGTAAAATATTGATTTATTCATTTGTAAACTAAACGAATAACAAGATCAGATTTCAGTTGTCTGATCCCATAATAGTTAGGGAAAAGAAAAAGGATAGGAAATAAAAATATGTTTATTAGGACGTTTTATGCAAGTTATTTTAAAACATTCACAACGTCATTATATAATCGATAAAATGAAGAAAAAAACCATAATGACTGAAATGGTACAATTAAAGAACAGTCTTCATCAATATCTTTTCTTTCTGCCTTATTTCCTATAGTTATTATGTAAAAAACGAAGAATAATTCTATTTTAATAATGAATGCTAAGCAATAAAACAAATACTACCTGAATAGTTTTAATAGTTGAGATCATGAGTCTATTGATGGTAGACCACCATGAAAATCCTGAAAGCACTAGAAAGCTGTTTCTTCCTATTGTGTAACTCCTCAGCAGTGCGCATCCACCATTCCAACCCTCGAGATTCGAATACAGAACCTGTTAGTCTCGGGCGTGAGCGCTTAAGATCTAGACCATTTAGCCAGCCGGTATCCATCAATGTAAATGTCTAACTTCAACTAATTCACAAACTTAAGAGACACATCCACAATTGTCTTCAGTGAGCTCATATCTCACAAAATATTCATTTGAACTCCACTGGTCACTGCTTTTCATTAGAACTCCAGGAAATATCTCTTGAAGCCAGTTACTAGTGAGCATATATTGATTAGTATCAGAAGGGAGCCCCACAATAGGACGAAATGGCCGTCCAGTGGTTCTAGGTTTTTCATGATGATTCAGCTTTAATTGACTCATGATCTCAACTATTAGAATCACTATAATATTCACAAAACCCCTTCTGATATCATCTGAATATTTGTAATTTGTGGATTCTGTGCATCTCTTGAAGTATTGTAAGATTTCATTACGTCCAGGATATTTTACTTGACACGAAAGTAACATGGAGGTGGTGAATAAAAAACTGAACTTGTGTTCGCTTAGCTTTCCACATATTAATGAAATTTTAAAGTTATTATAATCATTTTCCTTTTGAATATATCTTCCAAAGAAATGAAAAAGGAAGCGTATAAGTGGATTGAATGATAATCATCTAAGTAAAGAGGTTTCGTCAATTCAAATAAATCCTGAAAATTTAATGACACCAAAGTCAGCTTGAATCCGTAATATCCATCAACTTAGAAAGAAAAGTAACTGCTTCACAAAATTTTCTCTTGATATCACAGAATTATTCTATTCAATGAATAACGACTAGATGTAAATCAAATTTACCAAACCTAATATAACTACTTAATAAATTTAAGTAACACATTATTTCTGTAATATTTAACTAGTCAGTGTACATCAATAAAATAATAGTTTACTATTGCTCACACATCAACCTTCCATTAACAAACTACCAGCAGGTGTAAGAAATGCCTAAATTATAGTTTTGAAAGTTTTTTTAGGTCTAGAATATAATAATCGAAAAGTAGCTCATAAGCTTTGAAATAAAATCCAACGGTTGACACAAAGAAAATGTAGTTGATTACTCCATTTCACTCAATGAGTTTTCGACAATGCTCAATGCACAAATGGTTTATTTTATAAACATACTAACTGAAACTTTAGGTAAATTCATGAAATAATAAGGGCTATTTACATAGACAATTCATTAAAGAAATGTTTGTTCTCAATTCCATATTTAGTCACATTTCATCTTCTTGAAAAATCACGTGGCAGAATGATTTACTTTTTATGTTCCACACTGGATCCACATACTCCAAAACAGAATAGTCAAAATGCGGTATTGATATCGAACAGTAAATGTGTTGTAGAGAGCTCATGTTATATACACACTGTATTTGAAGAAGCGTTTTGTGACAAGCACAAAGCTTATCTGTAGTGTCGTTTTTTAGCTTTCACTTTTGTAAACCTCTTAATCTAAGAAATAACATCTTTCTTTTATTCCAAACACTTAGTCGAACTAAATTCTTTCACCAATTTTGATTTTTAAAATGTGAATATGACTATATCTACGAAATTCTATGAAATGAGACATTTAAATTGTCTTATAATGATATTTGATATCAAAGTACATTTCTGTTTTTACACGAATACTCTCACTGGCCCCACGTTTTACTGCTTTGCCACTGCCTAAATAAGACACTGAATCTAAATACAATAACGGTTTAACTTATTTACATTGTGTTTCATACAATAAATTTTTTAATCAACAATCTAGCAATGCATAAAGTAATAAAATGTTATGCAAACTGTTGTATAGTCCTGTTGTTTAACACAGTATTAAAGCTATACACGAATAGTATAGAGATGGTAAAATATTCGTCTACAGATAGTTTCAAAGTACTACCAAACTTAATTTGTGATTGACTGTACTATCTGAGGAATTTACAATCAGCAGAACAGTAGTGCACTTGAATATATCGCCTTAGAAACGTTTAGTTACGTTATCGACAATAAAAAATACCTAACTACTACTACTACTACTGCTACTACTACTACTACTACTACTACTACTACTAGTACTACTACTACTACTACATGATTTCATAAATTCAGTTCGATAAATATCAGTGTCGAAGTTAAGCTACAATCGAATCCTCAGAAATCATTCCACATACACAACAGGTAATAAAAATAAAAAATCTAGATTTTATATATACATAATCCTAATAATCTCATGACCTCATTAGAATAAAGTATCGTTCATCTAACATAATGTATAACATGATTGAAAATTATACTGTTTTTCCACCAAAACATTTAACTGGTAAACTTGTCATGAATGTATCAGTATTAGATAGTAAGTTATATTGTGTTTAATTAGAATCATAGAAAGATCATTTATAAATTAGTTCTCTTGAATAATAAATACAAGTATCAAGCAAATCTTCACACTATTGCATAGTGATTTGTTTTCCATTGAGTTAATAAAACATCAGAAAATAATAATGATAAAGTTACCATGGATTTAAAGAGGTTCAAGTTTTAACTTGAAAGATATATATGTTTCTATTTAATTTTATAGTAAAGAATAAAAGGAATTAAATTAAATGCATGCAAATAGGTTTAAAATCTATTTACATGATAATTCCATCTGATTTTCCATTGGAATCTCTACATATAACTAAAATGAAGTCGATAAACTACACTGAAACTATCTAACATACATGATATTGGGCATTACCCAGTGATCAGTAGATTGTAAATACACCTCAGTCCAACAAAAGGTTAGTTGGGTCCCGGATAGCGTTTGTGAATGTGAAACTGTGTGATATGGGATTGAATCTTCCAGAAAGTATCAGTTTCGCCAAGATTACAAGGACACCTTGCTAACCAGTGTCAAATAGCACGAAACGTTGGTCTAAGGTTTACCTGTCGACTACTACCAACCACCATCTTATAACGAAAAACTGTTCCAAACTTCTATATCTCATTATCAACATATCTCCCTGATGAATTTCACAATGATAGACCGATAACTAGGAGAAAAGGCAAGATGAATACAAAAATATAATATCTGTATTTTTATTCTTCCAAAGACTACGATTTTTCAAGCTCATGTTGATAAAGGTTTTCATTACAAGTGAACAAAATCGTCAAAGGGAGAATGATATTTCATTACCATTTCTTCAGGAATTACAAAAATTCGTATGCTTAGAAAAATATTGTTTGTTTCGGAAAAAGAAATTTAAGAAATCTGCAGTAGTGGAACCAGTTTTCATTTATTCGGTGGACAAGATCTAAAGAAAGACATTTTTGATATACATATGTATATCTGATAAGTTGGACGTGAAATTAGGAAACAGGGACAGTAATAAATTATGCTTAATCCATCCAAAGTATTAGTGACTATTCACAGATGGTAGATATGGCTTCCGATTAAATTTCCATTGTTGATTTACAGATCCAAAACATTCAGTAAGTTTTACTGTCAATTTTTCAAGATTGATTTCCAAACATTGACCTAGATGACGGATCGTGTTATCCTGTCAAGAAACGTAATTAAAGAACGTTAAATGTATAGACACTCAGTACAAGTATCTTTATATATGATAAATAAAAACGATTTATATGGTATTCCAGTAGTCGAGTCACATCCCACCCAACCATATCAAGCAATAATTTTTGATAAGCTCATCAGGATATTTTCCATTTTACAAGGCATCGTAAGTTTGACCTTAGAGCTATTCACGCTGTTGTTTCAGTAATTTTGATCAGTACTCCGAAGATATCAGTGTTTAAATGTTAACGCATTAATCATTTGTCCAACGCACAAAAAACATACAAATGTTTTGTCAGAATTTCACTAGACAACTAAACGTTTTGACAAAGAAACAAGTATAAGTGACATAATTACACTAGGCATTAACGGACTGCATTTTTGAAGTTGTTTCCCACATTTAAGAGATGAGAAAAACACTGCAATAATTAATCCAAGTGTTCAGAAAACTGGATTTAGTCACCATCTTTGTTAAACAGGATAACAGTTAAAAATATCCTTTAAATTCATAAACAAATTCAATTTAGATAAGAGAAGTCTGAAAACTGAAGTAATAAAATAAGTATTAATAAATGATATTGGGAAGCATTGACAAATGTCACCTGACGTAACAAATGCAAGTGCTCTAACAAGGAAAATGATTTTATAGTTAACAGTCGTCACTAGGTTATTGTAAATTCTCGGCACAACTTTTATTAAAATCTGGTTAAGTGTTTCATAGTATAACATACCTATCTATCTGACAGTACAATGGCTACACTTGAATGCCTAGATTTATGGTGTATGTTAAAAAGCCTTCCAATAAATTGACCTCAGTATCCTCTGAGCTGTTTTTGTGAGATTCCAGACCAAGACTTTGCTGTGGGAAAACGCTTCATCCTTATTGTTTTAAGACTAGGTTGCTATATTCGATAGAGTAAAACATCAATGATTGTATACTGGAGTTCATATTAAAGAGTGGCTGTCCTATTTTCATACTGATCTCTATTCCTAACATTTGAAAATTATATATTTGGTTTCATACGAAAGAATCTGACTACAGTGACGATAATATCAACAAAACATTGTACTAAGATGACGATGTTAAACTTAGCAGATCATTATTAAGGGATAAAAATAACATTAGCCAGTATCGAATAGTGTCGCTGATAGGATATAGAAATAGACAAGTGTGCGACCAGTAAAAGATGAAATTCAATGTCTGTATCATCAACAAGTTAAGTTTATGGAAACTAAAGAAGTCAATACTAAATGCTACATGTATACTGAATAATTTAGTTTGAAACTTATTTAACAATAAAACAACGACTATGTAATGTTCGTTAATTGTAAAGAGAAAGCCAAACCACGGTGACTATTACTGATGGCTAACTCAGCTAAAATGAATGACTCTGTCTGTTTTCTCATTATTCATGGAATGTTCAATGCTTCATCATGACTGAGTTAAACACACAACAAAACTTACTATTTCATAGGTGAACTCTTGACTTTCACATGAAGTTTGACATATACGTAAACCAACACTACGATTTTCAAAATGCGAATCAAAGCAATAATCATCTCGTCTAATTTGTTTTTCCGCTGTCAATAACCAGAACTAAGACAACATTTTCAAAATGAAAGAAATAAAAGATTGAGATAGAATTTAAAAAAAATAAAAAAATGAAAACATCATTGGTTTAAGCAAAGATGAATAGTGGCTAGCAGTGGAATCTAGGACGCGCGTTTCGTTCAATTTTGGACTCGTCGGCTGGATGCACCTGCATCCCAGATTTAATATTCACTCCGGGACTCGAACCTAATACTGTTTGCTCCAAACGTCATCGCGTTATTCACTTAGCTACTGAGTCCTGATAGCCACCTGCTTGTGAGATGGGGTGAAGTTTAAATTAACTTGATTTTGTTTTACTTGTATCTTCCCATTGTTGTTTAGGACTGCAACTGATCATTCTGTTGTTGGCATATGTGCATTCTGAGCGGCTTGCCTCGATATAGCCTTAAGTTACAAGCCTTTTAAGCAAAAATGAATAGTGACTAGTAGTGGAATGCAGGACGCACGTTTCGTTAGCGATCTGCACATATGCACATATGCCAATAAGAGACTTATCAATTTCAATCCTAAACAACAATGGGAAGATACAAGTAAAACAACACCAAGTGAATTCATCATTGATTTACTTGTAAATGAATAGCTAAAACATAATAACAACTGTATTCAAGAGTAATATCTTATAACACAGCTAGAATTTTGACACAGAGGAATTTTTCATAGGACTAAACATATTTGTACCGGGAAGAATCGATGTAGTATTTCTGTTGATAGAAAATTTCTTTTGAAAAAACCCAATTTGGATTGGTTATGAACGCTGTACAGTAAATTAACGGAAAACAACTAGTCCTTTTGTTATATTTTGGATCATGATCTGAGAGGACATAGATCATAGATTTAATAAACTTAGTCTTGTCATTCCATCTAAATAATTAGTCAGTGAAGTCAGATGAATAAATTAAAACAGAATAAAATTCATAAGATTTCACTTCATTAACCATTCAATATGGCGAATCTTGTTCATTCAAATAATTTCCAATTAGATAGATTGATAATAAGTAAGATATAGATGAGGATAGCTTTGAAAGAATCAAACAATCGTAATTTATATTACAGTTATTGGGCAACATTGGTCATATGGCTATATAATTTTTTTATGAAAAACTCACAAACTACTCCGGTTTGTTTATTCTAATTTAAGTAGCTTAACAACATCTGTTACTCTTTTACAATAGGCTGTGACAGATGATCACACAAGGCTAAAACTAGTTCTAGATCTATACAGTTTTTTATATTTTTTTTTCAGAAAAAACAACTGATGTAAAACATTAAATTATTTTTATGACATTGGTAAACCATTAAAAACCATGAAACACTGGACAACGGTTTTATCTTAATATGAGCAACCAAATTAATAAGATAAACCACATCAAACATATTTGCGAATCGAAATTTCACATCTGATTGATGCTACATACTACTTATATCTGTCAGTATAAGTTGTATGCACCGTATAATATCTTTCATACGTTGGTTCGTTATTCATTTTTCGTTTAATCTAATCACCAGACTTCCGAAAGCGTCTGATGCTTCTTGATATTCAGTGATCCTTGATCTGAATCAGACCTTTTTTGGTGCAATCAGTAAATGTTCTGTTCAATAACTACCTTTTGGATCATCTCATGACTATGAAGCACTATTGGAAATTGTCTTTTTTTTTCATTTTTTTAAGTAATTCGTAACCTATAGAGATTCAACAAAAGCATAACAACCTAGCCATCATGAAAGAGGAAGTTAGTGTGATGAGAAGCGAAATTGTCAAAATTTTGATGGAGTTATGTTCTATTAGACGTACCATTTTTCTTCCACTTTGCTCAGCTATCCTCTATCTCACTGAGCAATTGATTGGATGTCTGTATCTTACACTTGTTCGTAGAACATGCTGACGAAGACCCTCGTGGAGAAAATACAGTTTTTCTCGAGTGGAAGCCTGCTTTTTGACAAAATTCTCCAATTTTCGAACAACGAGAAGCACACTACGTTCATATGATTTTGAGATGGAACAAAAATTCATCAAAATCATCCACCTGAGCTACAAATCTCCACCATCTCAGTGTCGAAGTTACAATACAATACACATTGAGGAAAGCACCGAACTGCGTTACAAGGCAAGCCCTCACATGGAATTTTCAAGGCCAAAGAAGAAGAAGAAGACCAAAGAACACATTATTTTGAGAAATGGAGACATACATGAGAAAAATGAACAAAAATTGGGTAGAACTAGGAAGGAAGGCGCAGGATAGAGTGGATTGGAGAATGCTGGTTGGCGGCTTATACTCCATTGGGAGTAACATGCGTAAGTAAGTAAGTAAGTAAGTTAGTAATGTAATAGCAAATTGAAAATAAGAATTCTAGTTCAAGTTGAATGAATGTAATAAACTAATAAAAAGAATATGTAGCTAAAGAGGAAGTACGAATCACACTTTTCATTGAAGCAACTTTAATACGTGATAATGAAGATTTCAACTAATGGTTACGAATAAATCAGTGACTTCATTCGAAATTATTTTTACTTTTCTGAAATGGCGAGGAATTTTCCGAATTGACCTATTTTCAAACCACATCAAAAATAGAGCATTACCTAAATACAGTGATTAAGTATGGTTAACCCATTTCATGGTAACACAATCAACTACTTTAAAACATAAAGATATAGCGCTTCCTTTTTTTAAAAAACACTTATGGAGTATAGTGTCTTAATTTCACATGGAGAACTATTGATGGATTTCTGAAAATAGAAACTTTTTGACATTTTATACGGTTTTTAATACAGAGAAGTAATTTTGTATTTAAATCAAAATGGTCTTTTATGTTAAATGATAAATTTCGATAATGCAATGAAAAGACGAAGTTTATCAGAATTATGTTATTTATTTATTTATTTATGGCTTCATTCAATATTCTATTTTGGTACAGTATAGAATTCTCAGCACAAAATATATTTCAACAAGTTTCTTTTACAGAAAAAAAGGTTGATAATAAAAAAAATCTGAAAAACTGTACAACTTTTCAATTAGCGTCATGTTAAGAATGCAGATTATTGACTAGGTTAACTCTAACAACCTGTTCGTCACAGAGTATATTTGCCAGGTAAGGTATTATAGAACTTTTATACTTTTGCTTTCGTGCTTGGATTTTAATGTAATTACGTCTCGTTCTACCAGAAGATATACAAGGAGAAAGATATGAGTGAAGGGGATGGTTAGTGTCTGATAAAATAACACCTGCCAGGAGTTTGCATGACTTTAGATGGTCTCAAAAGATTCACCACATACCTTGTTAACTGCCTTAAGCGCTCTCCGCAGTACAGCAAAGTCTTTTCTCAAAAGCCCGGGAAAGAATAATGGAGAACAGTAAAGAATAACAGGTAATATGCAAGAATTGACAAATTGTAAGAGTAAATGACGAGTGATCCCAAGAGCATACAGTCTCTTTATGTAGTAAGTCAGACGGAAAACCTTCTTCGATAACAATGAAACGTGAGAAGACCAAGAGAGATCAGAGGAAAAGGTAACACCACGATAATTGACCGTCGACACTGTGTTTATCAATGAGTCGCCAATGGCACAAGCATTATGAGATCTCAAAATGGTATTTAAATGCCAATCATGTCTCATGCTAAAGTTAACAGCTTGACATTTAGACGGATTAAGTATGAGACCATTAACAACAGACCAACAATCAATTCGAGATAAAAACTCATTCATTTCTATAGAATGTAAAGAGGAAGAGATAGGCATACAAGCCGTGAGATCATTTGCATATTTCACGAAGGTGTTTACTGTGGAAGATGGCAGATCATGCAGAAAAAAAAAAGAGAAGAAGAGGTGAAAGAACAGCTTCTTGTGGTACACCTTCATAAGACACTAGAGACTTTGAACACTTTCCTCCAAACACTGTGTACTGTTCCCTTCCAGAGAGGTAGGAACATAGCCAGTTGGTTATCCAGCTGTCAGTGTTGACTCTGATTAACTTGTTAAGTAAACTTTGTCTTGATATAGAATCAAAAGCAGAAGGATAGTCCAGGAAAGCGCATCGAACATACTTCTTACCCTTTTCTATGTTGAACACTATATGATGATGCGGAACAGCAACAGTATCTAAGGTGCTTCTTTTGCATCTGTAAGCAAACTGATACTGATCAACGTGCTCTTTTATCGCAGGCTGAAGTGAAAGTATCAATAATATTTCCATTGTTTTGAGGAAGGGTGAAGTTATTAAAATGGGTCTGAATTTCACATTCTTATCACCAGATGCTTTCTTAGGTATGGGGATTATCTTCATCTTTCTCCACATTTTCGGTATGAAATTAGAAGAGAAGGATCTATTAAAGATAGTAGTGAATGGATGGCATAGGACCTCAGCACACTTTTTAAAAAGGAGGTTTAGGATATCATCAGGTCCCAAACATCGGGATGAATTTAGTGACTGGAGACATTTTCGGACATCAGTTTCGGTGAAACTAGGAACACAGCTATTTTTTAAACCCGTGAATAAAGGGAGCATCACATCAGATGATTGGTGTATAAAAGACTTATTTAAGTCACAAATATCCAGCTGGTTATCGGTCCTAATCTGTCTGTCACCTGTAAGTTCTGTAAAGAGTTTCCACATACTTGAACAGTTTTTACAAGACAAGAGTTTTTGAGTAAACATAGTGTTGAGACAACTAATCTCGAGGTTTATCAGACCATTTAGCTTACGAACTTCACTAGAGTTTTTCTCCTAGTGCATTCTTTCTTTCACCCTCCGTAGTCGTTTTAGTTGTGAAGATGTAAGTCGATCAAAACTTACAAAAATGGTTTCAGTGGGACAACAAATATCAAAACAGAATTTAAGGTAACAAGTGATAATATCAGAAGTGATTTCCAGTGAGTCATCTGTAAATAATTCCCAGTTAGTCGTATGAAACATGTTTTTCAGATTTCGGATATTTTCTTCTGAGTAATTCCTATATTTGACTTTCTTGGTTTGATTTAAGAGTGTACTCTCCATGCTTTCCATATACTTCAGGTAGAACACGAATTATACAGTGATCTGAGCTAGACAACGGAGCACGTTTACGAGTCACATATATACTTACATCATTAATGAAAACAAAGTCTAAATGAGCATCCAACCGAGTAGGAAAATCTACTACATTTTGGTGACCTAGTGATGTTAGGAAGCTACAGTCACATGAATTGAAATCACCACATACAATTGAAAGTGAATCATTGAAGGCAGTAACAGGGAACTCAGTGAATTCATCAGCGAAAACAGATAGCGCAGATGATGTGCAGTCTGGGGTCACATAGATATTGGTAACATAAATATATTTGTATCTATTCAGATGTTCTGGACGGCATCTTAGAGTTAGACAGTCGATAAAGTCATTTGGAAACTTGAAACACGCAAACGTAGATCGACATCAGTTCACGTTTACAAAAGTAGCTACACCGCCACCACACCTCTTTTTATTGTTTGATCGATCCTGACGATAAATTTTGAAATCATGTAGGGATACTAGGCAGTCGTCCTGTGAATCGTTTAACCAAGATTCTTGAATTGTGATGACACCACAATTGCGATACATATTTTGACTTAGTAGGAATTGAAGATAGTCTATCTTGTTAATTAGTGATCGGCAGTTAGAATTTAGCAACTCGTGAATCGACATACGATTAATGTTCATTCTCTTGAACGCGTATTGTCAACAACCACGATTTCTTTTATTGTAGTTATTTGTAACTTGTGCAGTGAAAGGTCGTAGGCTATCCATAAACGCGCCTGTATATTTTATGCGATTAATGGACATAATGAGACGTTAAAACAAAATGAAAAACAGATAACTTGTTGAAATAACTAGATGGCAGAAACAGGTAGCCCAGATATTCAAGCAGGCCGCCGTGTGTATCTATTTGCGTTATGTATGTATTTGTGTTATGTATTTGCATTTCAGACAATCTGATCACACATATACTAGACAGGTTCAAGTTACTAATAAGGTACACAAAAACAATATGATAACCACTCTGGATAATAAATCAGTATTACTAGGATAGGCTATGGGTAAGAGCAAATTGTTTTTGAACATATAGAGAGAGTTTCAGTTTCCGTATAGCCAAGGCTTCAATAAACCTTAGCATACGTTCTTGAAGGCTTTTGTACAACACTACCAATGCTGACTTATTGTCAACCTTATGATCAGTCTCAATCGAATGTTTCGCAATCGAGGATGATGTCTGTCTATCCTGTGGTCTTATTTGAATATTAAAATTCATTTGCTTTTGCAGCTATTTTGGTATGTGCTCATCCACTCTTAATTGCAGATCACGATCACTTCTCCCTACGTACGTGTTTCTGTACACACATGTAAATTGATTGACACAAAATTCTGCTAAACTTCGTCTTCTCACTGCATTATCAAAATTTATCAAAGGGACTAGTTGTTTTAAATGTTAAATGTATTGTACATAATTATTTGCTTTACTCATATTTGTTGATTGTTTTTATCTGTCATTATGCACTGGCTCATTTATGATCACTAGAGTACGTGTAGAACAGATTTATAAGTTGTTTTTCCACTAACTACATGTAACATTTTAGTCATTTTAAACCTCATTTAAAAAGTGGATTAGACTTTACTTCAGCTTGATAAAGAACTGATTCAATCAATTACTGAGATTCTCATGTTTTTGAAGATAGCATATTCACTATAATTCACAATCAAAAGAAATATCTGTTACTCTAATCAGTGGACAATATACTAAACAATAGTTTAAAATTTGTAAACAAATGTATACAGTAAACAAACCAACTAAATTACTTGATTACTTCCTTTTTTATGACATGGATAAGTTTCGATAATCACTGATTTTGAATCTTCATTAGAAGGCGATGGTGCATCTAAACAATATGGACCACTAACACTTTCAATCTAAAATAAATCAGAGTTAATCCAAATTATGTGAAGTGAATATTGGGTTTTAGGAAATTTTTCTATGTATGACATGACAGTTAAATATTGTATGAAAACTGTATACTGTAACAGTTTCATTGATAACTTCAAGTCAATTGGAATAAATTGGATAATGTCATTTGTGAAATAACGGAATGTAGGTTAATATATAAATCATACTAGACCTTTTGCTTATTGTTGGAAAATACACAGTAAAGTGATAATAATAATGTGTGTACAATTCTTTCATTGCAGTATAATGCCAAAAAATTAAAATAACGTGATAGGTAATTCACTATAGATGAGGAAATCAAATTTTATAGTACTTTGGTGTGTGCTACTTATGTAGACATAAGTAGTATATGACGTGAGTCGTGAACAGAATGTCTGGCAGCAGAAGATGGGGGAAGATCAAGAAAGGAAGAGCGGGAATACAGTGGAATTTGTATGGAAACTGATGAACAATGAGAGCACAGGCAATCGCTTGATGTTTGCAACAGAAACAGTCAAGTTTGATATGATGGATTGTTAGTTTGCAAATTAACGGTTCACTATATGATTGTTAGATTGTAATAATAATAATATTCGGTTTTCCCACTGGTGTCCTTGTTAACTACAGTACTACAAAGATATGAAAGGTTGAACTGTCGCTATTAATCTTAATCTGACAAAAAGGTATTATTATTCACTCGTCCATATTCTTCTGCATAATTCAAATGATGCAAGAAACTATTATTCTTATTCAAATGTTTACGAGGCTTTTATGTTCTTCTATAGAACGTTTAGTACGTGTTCGACTAGGCCTGTTAGAGACAATTTGTTTCATTTACAAATTTCGTGAATTATTTGAATAAATAACTGGTTCCTTTGAATTTTCAGAGTTACTTCAACTAAATAAGAAGACGTTTACATAATTTAACAGCCACGATATGGTAAATTAGCTCTAATTTTGGATGCAGAAACATAAGAAAAAGCATTATATGACAATAAAGCTTACATCACCAGAAGCCAAAGCTTTCGAAGGAACAAATAATTCAGGATAAACATTGGTTAAATACCAATCAAATGAGTGACATTTCAGTTTTTCTCTTAAGGCTTTACGTTCTGAAACATCTCCAAAATCAATCTAAATCAGAGTAAATACAGAAAGGAGAAAAGCATTTATTACGCAATTATTCGCTAAAAGTTAATTGTATCTCCTGAAAATTACTGTATTCTACCTTAAAAATGAGCATGAGAATATTTATGAATCCAACATGTACTCTAAAATGAATACTCAAATTTTAATTCTCAACTACATTTTGACATTCTTGACCAGATCGAAAATACCAATAAATAACCTTGTAACATAAATACACTATTACAAACATTTTCAAAAGTAAGTTGTATTAGTTCATTCAGGGATATAAACTAAATTCCTTTCACTTTAAACACCAAATCTTTATCCACTTATCTAGTGATTCCAGATAACTTTTGTCTTGTGCATTGAGTATGATTTCAAATTTAATTTGGAATTATATAAACCATTACAAATTAATAACCATATATAATTATAGATACTGAATAAAATGTAGCTACATATCTCTCATTGAAATTACAGAATCGAATTTTCTGAGGTAGCGCTTTTATTTGATGGCCTTAGACAATCTTTAAAGTGTTTTATGTGTACTCATCTCCCAAACAACTAGCACAAACAACAATACAATTGCAAACTATAGGTTTATAAGTAGTATTTTCTTCGAAACTATGTTTTAAGACATCTACAGAAAAACAGGACGGCTATATCACCTACAGGTTTAATTATCAGAAACTACTGTAATGGTAAGTAAAAAAATAATTTGTAAATAGTTATTGTTTAAACTACTTCATTTCACTAGTATGCCGATAAGACATTCCTAAATATTTACCAAGCATCACTCAAGTTTATAATGGAATAAGAATATAAAGTCAATATTTCATATGTTGATAATATTTATTAACTGGTAATAGACAAAGGATTTTACAATACAGGGCATGTAATTTTAATTGAATAATTACATATTCCGTCGACGTTTAGTCTGTGAACATGAACCATGAGTAATTTTTTTCAAACATCAGTGGATTACGGGTGACAGCATAAATTCAGGATGAGCGTTTCGTTCTATTCGTGAAACGATAGCTTCATATATATATATATATATATATATATATATATATATATATATATATATATATATATATATCCCGTCTTGAAACATTAGATTATGATCACTTAAATTGTAAATTCAAAACGTTAACATTTATGAATAAAATAATAAGTGTATTTTGTTAATGCTTATTTATTTAGCAATTGCATTCATACTTCTTGATAGTGATTATTATACATAAAAGCAAATGACTAAAACAAATACAATGGCGGTTTAACAACTTACTAGTTTGTATCCGATACGTTCATGAAAAAATCGCTTGTAATCATCAAGCCAAACCTCAGCTAAACGAAGTAGATTTCGTTTTAATGGATCCTCTACATTAACAGACCAATTATATGGCGAATCACTACGGAAAACATGCCCAACTTGACTACAAATCACCGTTTCTAAACTACCACCACACATCCAAATCTGAAAATTTTAGGGAGGGTTGATGAAATGAATAAAAGTGAAAATCTTCGGAAGATACTAAATACGTATTAAGTGAGAATGATAGTCTATAAGCTGAAATATAGAAAAGGATAAAATCGCATCCTTTAAAATTTTTATTTTCAAAATTTAACAACCAAGCCTTTTCACCACGATCTCTACTTAGGTTGATGAAAAATCCAATCAAATATTCGTCACATAAAGCCAAATAATTTAGAGTTTGGAAAAGAGATAACTATTACTTTTTAACTAGTGCTTTTTACCATGGATATTATTTATAGAATAGGGTTGCTAACTTTTCACCTAACTCTACTCCATTATTTAAAACAGTTAGTCCCTTTGATAAATTTTGATAATGCAATGAGAAGACGAAGTTTATCAGAATTATGTGATATATTAGCGCAATACATTTCGAACAATCTGATCACACATATACTTGTTAAGAGCATTTATATATAAAAATAAAAGGTCAACTAGACAGGTTAAGGGTAAGTCATGACAAAGGAAAAAATATTAAAGTACACAAAACAAATGTGATTACCATTCTGGATAATAAATCAGCATTACCAGGGTAGGTTTAGTGTAAGGACAAATTGTTTTTGAACACATAAAGGGGGTTTTAGTTTCCGTATAGCCAAGGCTTCAATAAACCTTAGTATACGTCCTTGAAGGCTTTTGTATAACACTACATTACTCGAACTTGGAACCGGCAGTAACCCATGGAGGCTCCAGGCAAAGTTTATCATAAATTATATGTAGATAATGACGGTCATCAAACTATAAGGCTCTTCACTATTATAGTTTTATTGTCTCCTAAAAATGTATATTCGTAATATAATCCATGTATTTCCCAATATACTTAAAGTCAGCCGTAACAGTCAACAATAAATAAAGTGGCTCATACAATCAACTTTCTACTTTTATCAGTAATGAATTGATCGGAATACATCACTTATAAGGCAATTTTACATTTATTTTAAAAATGTAACATCTGACTGAAACATATTCCCATCATCAATTAGAGCGTTTCAAATGATCTTTAACTGAGTATGTGTACCTTAATTATTAAGAAAAGCTAATATTATTTAATCGTAATAGTGAATTGGTTGTTTTAAGTACTTTAATCTTTCAGTTATATAATCTTAGTGACCGATGGTTTTTTTGATGAAAGTTATTCACATCAAGCTTTTGACCATCATTAGGTGAAATGGTAGTATCAAGTGTAAAGATCATTCCGTTTTCATTTTTTACGTAACTACTTTCCGCATTGAATTACAAACTAAGAATAAAAAAGGTAATCATTTTACTTGTTTGATCAATAGTTATATGAATGAGAAAAACTAAATAGTATCCGTAACACAACACCTGTTATCGTTAGTAATTGACTGATATTTTTTGAAGCGGTGGCTCATTCGGTGAAACTTATTAATTTTTAGCCACTAGGTTATAGGTTCATATTTAAGTTTACCTTCTCTGTTTAAGCAGTAAGGGAGTATTACTAGCCCTCAAACATGAAGTGTAGCTCAGACCTAAATAAACCGATGTGTAGCTGGTAATTGACATGATCCACAATCAGTGAGCAGAGATTGAAAGTGAATGAGAAAGATTTCATCCGAGCAGAATATAAATACAAACAGATGATAGATCAAATAACATAACAAATAGCATATGTAAATAGAATAACAGATTAATACAAGTAAACACACAGGTATTCACTTACTTTAAATGATAATTCTAAGTTCTCACCTCCCCATACTTCCATACCAGGATCATATCTACCCAGATGGTCAAAATACTCACGACTTATGGCAAACAAACCACCTGACATTGTAGGGGTTCTAAATAATGAAAATAAAATTATTCTAAGAAATGAAACAGCATCAAATTCATCCAGAAACCACATAGATAACAAGTGGTACCATTTAGATCCCACAAGACAAAAAGATATTTTACCTAAAAATTTTGCAAATGTTTGTCAGTTTTGATACATTTTACTCAATACAAAATGAGGACAGTTAGATAGACATCAAATACTAGAGAGTATAGGATAACTTTTACTTTAGTTTAAGAGTTGTCAACATTGTCACTAGAGACCCTTCAATCGATCGTAGTCAATATATCTAAGGTATAGTAGTGAATATCATATCGAATTGTTAGAATGCAATAATCTTGTCAAAAAGTTCAGTCAATTCGATTAGACTGAAATCAAGTTTATTAGTGATGTATAACCGGTAGATTCAATTCATACGCGTAATTTTTCTTAAGTTAAGATTAAAAGAGAAAAGAAGAGAAATTTAACAACTTCATAGTCAATAATCATAACAGTGAAGAGAAAAAGGTAGCATGGAATTTAAAATAAATGAAATTTATTGATTGAAAAATAGGTGGCTGAGATTGTAATAACAATGTTATTACATATGTAATATTGTAAAATCATTTTCTGAAGAGTATTTGTGATGCAATGAGTACTGTACATGTACATACATAAGTTGAATGTATATACATAATAAATTAGAAACCGTAGGATTAGGTTTTACACTATTTGAGACTAGTCAGTAAAGTATCGGTTCTTGGCTTAGTAGTGTAAAGGTTAAGCACACTTCATGAAACTTGAATGTTCTAGGTTCGATCCCTTGAGCGATGTCATGAAAGCGCATTGCCGAGAGGAGTGTCTTACCTAATAGTTAACTAGTGACCACCGGGTGTCAGTACTGCTTAACTAAAGATTACCTTTCATTATATTTATCAGGTAGATAGTTGTATTTTGCACTTCTGTAAACAATGTTTAGTTTACTTTTTCTTATTATCATTACATAACTTGAATTTGGTACTTTAAAATATCCAATATAGTTATACGTAACGCAATATCTGTATGTTTTACTATACATTACTTTGTGTACCCATAAATATTGCAGTACCGTGATGGACACTGATGGGGATGACCAATTTATTATTTCATACAAAATTACAAAATATCTTCGTAAGAACCATACACTAAATGCTTCATTTGCAAATCTTCCATTAGTTGTCCTTTACATTCTGTCGGATTCTTCCAATTCACAATTTCTTTTTATTTCTCCTTCTATTTTCTTCAATCCGATGTTCTTAGCCTTCTGCTAACAGCCATTTAACTTCTGTTTGGTGTTACATACTACTTATGTCTGTGAACATAAGTAGCATACAACGCAATACAAATTTCGTAAATGACGTTGTCGAAAATACGCATTTTTTCTGAACTATCTTCATTTTTATTTCATAATGTAATGAAATATCTTTGTTACTCAACAGATGTTAGGGATAAAAATTTGATGACCATGAATATTAATTATGTAACTTACAATTGAATATTTTGACTACTTCTGATACTTAAACATATCAATAAATACATTACAGTGAAGATATTCATAAGGAATTGCGATATCATTTATAGAATTTAGGTTGCTAAAACTTCCCATATCAGTCCTTACTAATTAATATATTATTCTATTTCCAGGAGTGAACATTAATTTTCCTAAAGTATCATTTACTTCAACAATATAACTTTGAAGAGAATAAATTATTGATTTCTGATATATACATTATAGTTTTCTCTTCGTATGATTAACGTTTTATCAAGGTGCAAAATTAAGTAACGCGAAAAATAAAAAACTGTTACACATAGTGATTTAAGATATATACACGATATAAAGGATAATAATTTGTAAAATGTAGGGTTCTCTGTCGGTAAACAGGAAACTGCAAACATTGGCAGATTTATCTATTTTAAAACAGTATTTGCTTTCAGTGCTAACATTAATATTTAGCATTTTTTTAATTGTGTTCCACTTACCAAATATGAAACACATGAAAATTGGCTTCAAAGAGATTAATTTAAACCGTATTTTATGTAGTAAAACAGAATACACACATTAGTGATTATTTTTCAGCATGACCTGTTTCTTGAATCCATTTAAGCTAATAATTGATTTATCACTAGTTACTAAAACTTTCTGCCAATAAACAACAAGCAGAAAATATCAAAAAAATAATAATGGATTACAGTAATTTACCAAATAAACTATGTATTCAGTTTACATTGTAGAATGTATATGTAACACACCAACCTAATAGGTGAATATGGTGCACCAGGACGTTTTTTGTCTCGTTCACTTAGTTCATGCCAGTCAAATGTTAGACTCCAATCAAATCCACCAATTTCAGTGTAAGAATAATCTACTTTAAGATATTCAAAAGTATTTTCGTCTATTATCGTTACTACAGGCACAACAACATTTGTGACATTATGAGCAATACGATCTAGAAGCGGCTTAAGCCAACCTATAAAGCAAATAAAATATGATGATTAGCTGATATACTTCCTCAATTGGAAGACTAAAGAAAAAAAACCATAGAATAACGATGATCAATTATTAATTATTTATATTAGATAATGCATTCAATTGTGAGTAAACGTTTACATGTAAAATAACTAAAAAAGCTAATTAAACACGGAAAGTTTACTATACACTGTGAAATTAGGTAATATGAATCACTGTTAATAATCGGTGATAGCTTATTATTGAGAACGAAAAATAGATAGTTTTATTCAAGCCAAATGAATACATTCTGGGTAAATTTAAGTTAAAGTACATACATAAAAGACTGTCTAAATTTAAAGGTACAACACTTTGAATAGTTGTATATAGCAAAAAAATAGATGGATCATGTTTCCTTATTGAATTTAAAATAGAATTAGACTGCATAATCACCTAACAACGTATACAAGTACGTAACATTCAGCAAAAATGTAAATAATTCAGTACAAACACTGTGTTAACAACAATAATTTCACACATTACTTTTAAGGAAATAAATTTATTTGTAATTTAATAGCACATAATCCAAATATAAAAAGAAAGTAAACTATTTACTTGTAGCACCTTATTAGCAAATTAATAAAAGATCAAATTCATGAATTAATAATCAAATCATTTATTTAATGATGTTTCAAGATCACATCATGAATAGATTTTACATACGATGACCAACCTCAAAGCAAAAGTACAACATATTCTTTGTTAGGACTTTAAATCGAATCACTTTCCATTTACTTAGCTGAGACTAACTGTATAGTTTCTCACATAAAAATCATGATTGAAACAAATTCAAGTAAACAAACCGGTTACTTTCATACTTAATACTACTGAATAATCTCAGTTAGACAATCCCTGAAACGCAGGAATTACTGGACAGCTGTTTTGTCTTAGCATACAACGTCTCAATAACATTTAACTACTACTCCACTAACTCAATGGTTCAGAAGTCAAGCACTCACAGTAAGATCAAGTGTCTCGAGTTCCATTGGCGGTGGGTTAGTAGATGTGCACTGCTGAATAGTTCCATACTAAAATGAAACAGCTATTCAGTGCTTTTTGGTTTTCAGTGATTGTCTAATTAAGATCACTTAATAAAGTAAATTATGAAAATCGTATAGTTTATTGAATTAAATAGACACCACTCTATTTTTGACCATGTTCAAAGCAACTGAATTAAGTCATACTCCACAGATTGTTTAAAATCTGTCAAATATTGACTTACGTAGAAAATGATGGTTTCATTGAGGTTGCAGTTTTATATAGGACTCCATACATTTTCATGGGTATGACGTTTTAGTGGTCCTGACTCTATTTAAATGTATGAATGATTGTTATTGAAATACACATGCCGCCAATCATCCTATATAATTATCGACTTAACTCCAGTTGGTAAATAAAGGAATTAAACAAGTCAAATACGAAAATGAATCTCGAATACGTATATTTCGTACATTCATTGATCGGGAAGCGAAGCAAAACAAAGTGACGCGCAATGGACAAGGCGAGTGAACCAACTCTGCTTAATCAAGTGGTTATCGATATTTATAGTCAAACAAAAAAGAGTTATGGACATGTGATAAATAGGATTAGAAATGAACACATACGCTAATATAAAAAGTGAAGGTTGATAAGCAAATAATTGACAAGCTCAAAATGTAACTCAAGTAGAATGAATAAATTAGGCTGTCCAAAAGCTAGAATAAACTACGTGGGCTTAACACAGCAACAGACACTACAACTATAAATTTCCTAAAATCAAAGTACTTTTCTAGAACTGGTAGGAGCCTGAGCCTCCATTTATCTTTGCATTAAACCGTTAGAAGTAATCAAAAGCTTTGTGTAATATATGAGATCAATTTACGTATAGTGAAATTGAAAAAGGCTCATTACAACCTGTCTTCTTTAGTGCTGCTGTTATCGTCAATTCGATAGTAAAAGATTGGTCTGTATAGTATTGGTATGGGTAGCTTCGATCTATGTTTTGTAATCTGGACTCTTCGAGTTGAAGATGCTTATCCAAAGGAGTGCCGACATCCAACAACAACACTATTTTAATGGTTCTGAAGTTCGGCAATGTGTGTTTGGGCAGTGCAGCTAAGTCACTTAATGTCACCTTCTTGAAACAGTGACTTTGTTGTTTTGTTCATGGTTTACGAATGTCGTCTCAGCGGCTTTACTTTCCGAAGCTTGGATTGGATGGAAAAAGCGAAGAAGTGGTCAGTTTACGACACAACATTAAAGGAAGCTGTATATCACTGACATTTGTCGGTTCATAACAACTCGGTTGGGGCTACATGTAAAGATAGTTACATAAGTAGGCCATAGAATAAACCCTACCAACGAATAAAAGACCATCTCTCATTATGAAACAGCAATGAAACACAGAGTATATTAAATTTATTTTGCAATACATAATTAACTACAAACAATCAGTAAGACCAAGCTCAGTTCACCGAAAGATCTATACATACATCACATTTCTTCGCTGTTACTCTACTTTCCACTTTCTTTCTGCATTTATTTTTAAAACTATATTTTGTAGCTTCCACTTTTTATACTTAAGTGACAGGTAAACTTTCCCTTCCTAATTTATAAAATCCTGAAATATTTCACTAAAATTTATTTCTGTTCATTCGTTCTACGATTATCATGATGGTTTTATAATCACTACAATTCAATATCTGTTTTCGTTTTGACACGTCACAACATGTTTACAACGAATTTTGTTTACTTAAATGAAAAACCCTCTAACAAAACCTTCCACCTTGTAGTTTGCATATTCCATCTTCTATCAAAGCCTGTATATAAGGAATTTCAGAGTTTACTTAAACAAACTAAACTATTTGCCGGAAATTAGAATAATAGTTACTACAATGTAATCTAAGATTGTGAAATGCAAATGATTACGTAAAGGTACATATCACTGTTAATCAGGACGAATTTGGTTATCTAAAATTTATACATAAAGGTAATGAAATTAAATTGTACATAAAATTTTCTTAATTATTCAAAAATAATAGTTTAATTGAATAGTCAGGATGTAAATTCTACAGTCCTAGTAAGGAAATAATTTCTCAACATCTTCAGTCGAAACCATCTTGTAAATTCTTATAAAAAATCATCACAGAAAAATATTTCTCAAATTCATCTACATGGTCAAACTAGATCATACGCGAAGTTAAAAGACCGAGATGTCAACAGATTTACAATATTTTTTTACTCGCTGGCAGTACACCTCTCTGATATCTGTTTATAGAAAGGTTGCTTCACATGCCTGATGTGACCTAGTATAGAAAGAGTGATTAAACTTATAAATACGCGTTACTGTATCAATAGGTTGGAATTTGTCAGATACATGCACAAGTCCAAGACTAGATATAGAAGAAAATTTAAATTTCAAATAAATAGATTTACCTAAAGATTTCGGAAGACTACTTTTTCTTATAATGTAGCCCATTAATTGAAAATATAGAATATTTTCCATATTGCTGCTTTGATCTGACAGAATAGCCACTTTTCATGTTTTCAGTGAAGTCTAACTAAATCACTATCGATTATTTTAGTAAGAAGCAATATAAATTTTGTTCACACAGAAATTTTAACTTCAGTTTGATAGCCAATATCAAAGTTATTTAATCGAAAAGTGTTACCAGTTAAACTGTAACAGATTGTCAGTGAGTACTCTGTATATGATAAAAGCATCGTACATCTCACCATACGTATAGTTCAAAATCATCGATGATACCAAATTTGTGCATTGCAGACGTTTTAAGAAATTTAGTGATTGCATCATAAAATTTCTATGCAAAAAGCAGGATATACATTGACTTATTTCTAATTTTGCTAACTTATATTAAGTAGTTGCCATCATCTCCAAATTACTTTCCATGTTCACCAAGTGAAAAATTTATCTAGCAAACCTTTAATTTGCAATATATTTTTAGTGGGGTTTTTTATTCATCTTCAAATTAATAATCAGACTCAGTTTATAATATCAACCAATTTTTCAGTCGACTACTATGTGTAACAGATATCTACACGTGCAGCCGCAGTGTAAGATATCGATGAAAAGAAAAGTTTGTTTTTCTAGGCAAGATTAACAAAATGATTACACTTGGACTCTGTATGGGACTGTCGGAGGCTTCCGAAACTAGAGACCTTAATAATGAAGCCTGTTATGCAATTGACATAAGGTCTCAAAATTATAAGCCCTAACACGTTGAGAGTGATATGGATTAAAGCTGTAATACATAATCAACCATGCATACCCATACAAACATGATAGTAATAGTACAAGGATACAAACAAGGTGTTACTGTTCGAATGATACTGTCTTTTGAATAAATTAATTGAAGGGATTAACAAAATAAAAATTATACAAATTCAAAAGTAGATGAATTCTTATAGTAGATTGAGCACATTATCAAGATTTGAGATAAAACAAAGTTATTCTAATCAGTAACAAAAATATGCCACAACATATGCACGTTTAACATTCTATGATTATCTTATTTCTGAACAAATGAGGTTATTGATAAAAATGAAAATTCGGTTAACCTTGTAAGACTAGTGAAAATAAAAACTATTGCTATCTTAATGAAAAAAAAAAAAAAAAACTAAATGGCATATAATGATAGAAGCTATTAATAGAAACTAATTGAATACCTTAATGAAAAAGAGCTCATTAGGAATTTAATTAAGAAAGATAGTTCATTTTATAATTCATAAAAATAAATAGTATTATAATAATGAATGGAATCTGTGAAATATATATTATGTCATAATTCTTCAGATATTTATGTTCAAGCTTCACTCTAAAGATTCTAGATTAACAAAAACCAAACAAAATAAGATGAATTCATTCTATTTTGCTAGAATCTTTGTTCTTACTCTTTTCAACATGATAAACGGAATTATGTGTATGAAACAAGGACAAATACAAATAAATACAAGTCTATGGTGTTGATTCCTAATAATTTTGTATAAAACAAATCATATGAGTAATTTCTGTTTTTAAACGTGTTTGTGTAAAACGATGTCAATCGATAATCTTATTAGTGAATGTTACTTACGATGACCATACCAGTGTTATTAGTTTCTAAATATTGATGAACTTAAGAAGACTTTCTGATTGACTAAATTAGAAACTATAGGTATAGACAATCAGGTAAGTAGAGAAACAGTGGTACAGCGATAACACAAGAATGATGTCACAATTTGCCACAAATTAAATGTGACTAAGACTGTGAGTAGTCGGATTTGAATCCAGTGATTTAAAATGTATCATACGTATTGGAAACTAAGGTCCTGGCTTCCATTCATAGTGGAATTGTAGATTTGTACTCTTGGAAAGTCTCAGAAATCGAAGAAACAATAACCATATATTCTTGTTGTTTAGCGATTCCCCAGTTGATGTTTACTTGTCGTGAAAATTATCTTCACGTGAAATATACACGATGTGAAATAGAAATCTGTATCCTTTCGCTGGTACACAAATTATTTGGACATACATATATATAACTAAACGAAATTGTTCTACCATCAAAAACTACATAAAAATGCATAGTATAGTCATGTGTTTTAATGCCATTATTCAATGAAAACAGAATAAATAAAAACCACAATAAATACCTCAATAAATTAAGCAACAACAGACATGAATAAAACAAGGTTTAAAATCATTCTAAATAGATGAAATGACGGAAACAACTAAATAAACTAGTAACTAGGTATCACTACATGAAATCAATATATCACACTCGATACTCTTGCTACATATTGTGGACGAATGTGAAATAAAAGACATAAAACTGTAGGACAAACAATATACAGTTTTAGAATTAAGGGGATTAACTGCCAATTCAGTCTTCATAATCCACAGTCGAGACACTTCCGTTAGCGAATGTTCATTAAATCAATAGCTAATCTATCCATCCAAAATTGTGATTTATGAAAAAGCTCGGTAATTGTATCCTCAGTCACTATTTTGAAAACACATTGTTATATAGTGGTCTTGAGACTAATTATCTCACTACACTGTTATACCAATTTATCCTTAGTATTCCAACATAGTTATTCTCCCAATTATCTTGTTGTTTTTACACTTGTCAGATCGAAATTTCAACCACAATACCTGTTTGCACCAACACGACAATATATTGTATTTTGGGAGGATTTATGCTGTTCGGAAATATTCAGTTCAAATAAGTCAAATGTGTGTTTTTATCAGACCTAGAATCTCCGAACCCAGTACGTTCAACGTACTAACATTTAATCGTTATAAAAAATATGTTTACACAAATAAATACATACACATTTACACTCCATAGAAAATATCATATTATGAAACATTTGTGCAATGAGGTAATGCCAGTGTATCACCGCCAACCTCACCTGTCGTACATTCAATATGCGAATCTAGAAATACGAGCACTTTCCCAGTACTGTGTTCTGCACCAATCATTCTTGCTCTAATCAATCCTTCACGTTGTTTAGTACGAACAATTTTGACTACATTTAACATTTTCATGTATTCTTCCAATGCTTCTTTGAGATGAGCTGCGATATGAGAATCGTGTACAAAGCAATTAGGGCTGTGATAACAATATTGACCAAGTACAGTTAAGGTAAGTTAAGTTAAAGGTAATTGAATTATTTTAATGAATGGGACAATCTAAGCTTCTAGAAAACTTGAAGATTACCGGTTTTAAGAATTGCTTATCAACAATAATGTTTTCGAAAGAACTCACTCATCAAATGATATGAAACTATTAACAACGAAATCTAATTCAAGGGCTGAAAACTGAAAAGCTGATCACCAAAAATCCAAATACAATGTGTTTGATGTCGAGACGCTTAGACAAGTGGCCATATGGCAACTTAAATAACCAACTGCGTTTGGGGTTAGGTATGACATAAACATGAAATTAGTGATACTCTTTGAAAAAATTAAGTGAATATTCTTATTATACAAACTCAGCAAATAAAGAGGCAATAATTAGCAAAGTGTCTGTCTTGAATCACGAAGTACACGAAGAAACACAGGAAATCTTAATACAATAAACAAATTCAGTACTTAACAGCTTCTCAAAATTTTCATTCGGATCTCCATGAAACATGTAGTTATCAACAAGTTCCAGAACCCTATACTGATAATTACCATGTGCTCAACAGTGACTGGCTTCAAAATGGATTTTCAGGAGTTCTAGTGAGAAGCCATGACCAGTGGAGTTCAACCGTGTCCTTTGTGAGGCAGTCACTCACTGAAGACAATGGTGGACGGTTGCGCAATTTCGTGGATTGGTTGAAGTTAGAGGCTAAGTGTTTGCTAGCGGGTCTGAAGGCCCTGGGTTCGAACCCCACGTACAGGATTGTGAGTGAGCACTACTGAGAAGTCTCATACTAGAACAAAACGGCCGTCTAGTGCTTTCAGGTTTTCAATGGTCGTTTAAAATTGATCTATTCATGATATCAGTCTAAACCCAACAGTCTCGACAACCCTTTATAGACAGTTATTCACCAATAGATAGAATTTATTGTACTCTATCGAATAGTTACACGAAAAAATCACAATATGATTCACATCAACAGAAGACTGAAGTGTTTCATTTGCTAAACGTCAATCAAATGACAAATCAAACGTGGGTTGTAACAAAATCAAATGACACAATACATTTTTCCCCGTCTTTGTCAGAATGTTTTTCTTGGATAAATCAGAACCACAAGTAAATAATTAGCAATCTTTTTCCATCATTCAAAGGCCTAATAACTTTTGCATATCAAAAGAGAACTTTAAATTCTAAGTTTAAGTACAATGAGCAACAACATCTGATTAGCACTAACTTTTCTGTAAGGTGTAACAATACTCTTTGAATCTTAACAGCAATATTCCTAAAATGCTTCACTGTAAACCGAATAGAATCAACTGAATAATAACACACAGAATTCAAAACAAAACATTTGACTTACGACGATCAGAGAAATCGTCAACAAGTATAATTTCCTTTAACAAATTTGGTGGAGATCGATCTATCACTGAATGTACTGAACGTAATAATACTGACCAAGCTTCATTATGAAAACAAATTATAACAGACGCTGAGGGCAGATTGGTTCCATATTTACTAACTTTACACCTAGAATATTATTAGCAAAGATAAAAATTAACAGTCATGATGACGTCAGAACAAATAAGAAGGAATAAAGTTAAATAGATAGATAAGCAATTAGGTAAATAATGATGGCACACAGTTAAAAGAACAATAAGTCAATGAATGTATACTGTGTGATTTCATAGAACGATTTCAGGCTACAACCGTTCGGTGATACAACATAACTTGAATTTATTTGGTAGCTCACTATACGGATGCTAAGCATAGTAAATAACAGTGTTATATTTATATGAATATTCGTTCATATTTGAATGAATAGTTTGAGAGAAGTTGGGCTCCGGGTATATAAAAGACAGTATCTGTGTAAATTATATTTGTAATAATCGAAGATGTCGCAATTTAAATAATTCCGAAATTTCGTCCAGCAAACTTGTCTGGATTTATCAGCATAATCATCAACATCAAGATTATCAAAGAATATGTAATGTTTAACAACCAAATCAAATCTGTGCTAAAGGCCTTTCCAATCATATTCAGATGTTGACTTTAGTAAGTGGGATAATTTTCACTAAGGCATTGTGGAGATTCTTGAATTTCATTGAAATCATAAACCAATCCAAGTTAGACCACCATTGAGAACCTGGAAGTACTGAGAGACCGTTTTGTCCTAGTATGGGACAACTGAACAATGGCCATTCACGATCGCGCACGCGAAATCAGACCCAAGAACTTCAGTCTCGTGCGCAAACGCTTAACCCCTCAACCACTGTGTTGGCATATAACGGTGTCAATCTCTAATTTCAACCAGGATAATGAGTCAGTAAAATGTGAATCATGTGAAAAAATCACAATGTGAAAGTAAATGAATGACCGTGTGTGCAACTTAACGTGAATAATAGTTTATATTATGTGTTAATTTGTTTATTAAAAGTAAAAGCAAAAGTGTAAATAGAAGAATTCGATTTGTACGTAAAATAAAAACCATCAAATATATAATTGTAATGGTAGTTAGTAATCATTTGCCAAAGAGTAGCTAGTCGAATACCATCTGTTCTGTTCAGTCTGTCCCAATTAGCCCATTCGTACAACGTTTCTGCTGTCAAACTTTCTTTAAGCGAGCCGAACTCTTTCTGAAGTATTTCGGTTCCTTCAAAGTTGATTTTTTGTCCAGTTATTAACCCATGTAGCGTTATCACCGACCTACTCTAAAAATCCTTTAGATCAACCGAGCGCTTGGGAACACGTTTCAGGCACTGCTGGTGTTCGTTCGACCTCACATTCAACCGTCTATGCGTTTCTTCCACGTAAACTGCATTACAATCAAGAAAACTGATTTTATAGAGAACATTCTGTTGTTGGTTTTTTGGAAACCTATCCTTAACTTTTATTATTCCTGATTTCATGGTATCACTGGTACGAAAATACACTCCAGTATTGTGCTTTTTTAAAAATCCTGTTAATTTCTTCTGATATTTCTTTACGGTATGGGATGACCATGGTTTCCATCCATCCCTTCGATATTCACTCTGATTTAGATTTTCTTTCATTACTAACAATCTTCATTGAAAACTTGTTAAGGTAATCGTTTGTCTTAAGTTCAGACAATACTCAATTCAATTCAGTCTGTTGGCCTCCCTACTCAGAGTCACATTGGTTCTAGGTAATATATTCCTATACTAAATTTCGTTAACTTGAGATAGTGGAGATTTGTAGCTCAGGTGAATGGGCATAATTATTTAATCCATAATGGAGACTGTCAATTTAACATTTGTAACAGTTACCTAATATGTAGACAAGCTTGGAAAACAGTACTATTTCCAACAGATATACGCTTGTTTTTAGACACTGAACACAGTAGATGGATGCATATGTCGACATATATACAATGACATACATTAGAAATTACCTCCGTATTGAAACGTCAAATAATTCAAAGAAAAACATGTATATCAATCGAGTCATCATCTATTTGTCTATCAAAACTCGGTTATTAAAATCCATAATCAATCAACCTGACAACATTTGACCCGTAACTGTCAGCTAACTCATCAGATACACTCATTACCTAATTTTATTTTCATCATTGTTATTTTTATCACTACAATAGATCCATTAAATTTATTGAGTAGTAAATTAAAAGGATTATGATAATTGTGCTTGGAAGTCTGAGGACATAAATTACTAAATTTTCTTAGGTGTCTCATGGATATTTGTTTGTACTCGGTAATTTTTGGTACACACTGATATGGTCTAAAGAACTATCAAAAACTAGGAAACACTAAACACCTGTTTTGTCTTAGTTTGGGTGCTTTATCAATGACAGAACATGGTATCAAACCAAGATTATGCACGTCTCTCTGCGAGTGTTTTACTTTCAGATCACTCTGTGTGAACGATAGTTGTCCGTGTTTTCAAATTTAATCAGTTTGTGATATATAGAGAGCTCAATCTACTATTCAGGAAACTTTGACTCATACAGCGTTTCTAACAGTCTAAGTAAAACCTCAATCCAGATAACTAAACACTAATAACTGTGTGATAACCAACTGTACAGAAGATAGTTCACTAATTAAAATTTCTTAACCGCACGAAAATCGAAAACAGAAACCAAAAACAGACTTCTTTAGACAGACAAGACAAAAAATGTCATAATAATCTCAGAGTTGACTTACATGCCCTCTCGATAGTCTGGTAAATATCGTCTCACACTAATTCGGTCACTAGCATACTGATTAAAGGCATTATCTTTCCAACCTTTGTTGAATATCAGTTTTTCGGCCGATGATAACCGTTTGCGATCTACTATAAAAGCTCTACCATACTCACCTTTAATAAATCGTATTGAGTTGAATATTTAAAATGTAGAACGTTGTGGGATCCAAATTATGAGTGAAACAACAAAAAAGTAAATGAAAATAAATATTCTTTGAGTACGTAATGTGAGCATCTCAAGATATTTTACACTATTAACTGAAATCAGCAGGACAGTCAATGACAAACAGAGTATGATAAACGCCTTATTTGTCCTGGTTCAAGAATCATCACCGGATTCTACACATTTTTCGACCCAGTGCGTTCAGCTTAACCAGTGTTCGATAACATCTTCACACTACAATGGTAACATTCGACAGTTCCGATTTCAAATTGATATGGTATGGAGATTCTCATGTATTGAAAGTGAAAAACCAAACTTTATGATGTCCGTTAACGTCATGGAGGAAATGGTGGTCAAAATGATTTGGGCCATTATATCAAGAGGGGGGATTTAGTCTATCTTTTTGGATAGATAGATTTTGTATGTTTGAAAAAAGAAGAAACAATCGTCAACGTAGAACAACATGAATTCATTTAAATTCATGAGCTATGTCACATGAATACAACTGTATACTTATTGAGACCTAAAATAATATTAAAGTGTAATCATTGGTAGCGGAAGCGTTGAAGTGCAAAGAATTGTCGTTGTCACATTGATTTAAAACAGAGTGTGTAATGTAATCAAGAAATGGATATAGAAAACATCAACTTCTTTATGTTTATAAGAGTTGATATATTCAATTGACTAATATCTAGTATCATCCGACAGAGAAAACTGCACTTTAATTATGCATAATCACCGTAGGAAGTAATAGTTGACAACATAATTAAAACACATTGAATTAAATTTAAATAAACACTGTTGAGTAACAAAGACACCAGAATTCAAGTTCACAACTAATCTACACTAATCAAAATATACACTCACCTGGACCCCTTGAGTACTTGTCACTTCTTTGAGGTGGAGATCTAGGAAATAAACTCAACTTGGCAATGGCTGATGTTTCATTTGGATGATTGTCTATAACAGTTTTATCACTGTCTATAATTACGTTCTCGCCTTCACCTATAAAAATGAAAGAACAATTAATATCGGATTAGTAGGGATTCTTACTGGAAATACAATTAACGTTCTCATTAGAAATAAGCAAAGCGATGTGCAAGCAAGATGTAGAAAAAATTAAACCACCGGAAGATAAGCCTAATTATTGTATTTTAAAAGATTACTACATCTATCTAACAGATTTCTGTAATAACCATATTGACAAACTGTTTTCTGACAACCCGTTCAAGAAGATCAGCACTTACTTAACACTTTGTCTGATTACATGGATTTCAATATCCTGAAATAACTTAATGGAATGAAACTTACCATACATCATTAATTCTTTCTCTTTCGTGCAGATTGAAGTTATATCGTTTTCTCATAAAATCACGGGTCATCTGTGTTGATATTCTCAAGGGCCTATCACTGTACATTGATATGTTAATGTCTTGGATGCCAGTAAAATTTGGTAAATTAGTCTAATGGTTTTGTGCACATTCAGTATAAGTAGAATTTCAAGGCTGATTCATATCTTAAAAGCTTCTAAAAACTCACAAGTTTATAATTTTCTCTGTATGTAATTTTTTTGTTTGCATTTTCAGTCAAGTCGTTGTTCGAGATACGCAGAATATATACCTATTGGTTCTATCACATCTCTAAACTGTGTTTTGTCGGCTCTTATAAGCCTCCTGGTGATTTATTGAGCGTTTATATAATTCAAAGATTAAGCTTGAGTGTTAAGTTTCATAATATAAAATTCGAAATTATTTTACAATTTTAAATTCATACACCAAAATTAATTGGAAGTTTGCATTTCACTGCAGTAGTTCATCAGTAATAAACCGTGATAGATCACACTTTGTAGACTACTTACCCGAATCTTTGTTAATGGCGGAGTGTGAACGGACAGTCGGCGAATAAGCTGAACCTGCGCGATTTCCACTGAGCAAACTATTCGCTCGAGGTTTGTATTGATTTTTTGGTTGTTCGAAAACTTTAAGCTGTTTGTCGGATTGAAGTATCACGTTACAATTGTTTTCCACAAGTCTTTGAACAGACAACTTTGTAGAGTTGGCATACGGCCCATTCAGGTCAAGTTTATCAACGTTTATCCACAAAAAGAACATCAAACTAAACCAAACTGATCCCAGAAGAATAAAGTAATTTCTACGCCGATCAATGCATGGTGTAATCTTTCTGCGCATAGTTTACTAAAAACAAAATTTGTACACACAGCTTAATTCATAGCATACTCATAGCATATAATGTGACTTGACGCATAAACAGACTAGTATAAATTTAAAAAATCAATCTATGAAGGATTATACTGCAAACAGCTGATGAATAAAGTGTTTCAAAGTCATCTGAAGAATTTTACTTGATCCAATAAAAATTTAGTGAATTTTGAGTACACCACGCAGGACAGTTTACAATTTTATATGATACATAGGTTTCAGAATGGCGAAAAATCGCCTAAAATATGTTCAAACGCTTCAATGTATGTAAATATACCTTTGAATTTAGCGATAAGCAACACTGCAACATGCTAGTACCGATCCACAAACATAAATTTTGCCTAACAATAAGCATATATTAGTTAATGCGTCACACGACTTTTTAACCCTCAATTAAACTCATTGTTCTCAAACCATGTTGTTTACGTCCAATTTTTGCTATCATTAATGTTTTTATTTTGACTTTTTAGTATCTCCTCATGTTAACTTCTTTGGTGGGCATTTTCAGCTGGTCCACGTTAGATTCTGAGGTGAGTATGTATGCTTCTAGATTTCGCGTTAATCTATCATACACGAAACGTTAACTGTAGTCTCCTGCCTATTTTTAAATGATATCACAGATTACGTTCACTTAAAATGAAGTCACTGATAGACCACATTCTTTGACGAAGAAAATTTTTTTGGACGATTTCATTTCTGAAAGTTGCTCTGTCAAACTTATGGGAAATAATTATCACAAGCAACAAATGATGAATTTAAGTTTACAAGTGTATGATCAGCAAAACACATATATATTGGATTTTACTCTAAGGGATGTCTAATAATTTTTTGAGCCACCAGATTAGATAACTTTTTGGATTCCCAGTGAATCCTCATGATGGCCAGCAAACACAGTGGATTTACACCTAATTCTTTCGGTAGTAGTGTTTTCTCACTTTGCTCCCAATGATTTTTGAAACCTATGTGTGCCATTGATTCGAAATCATGGTTTCTTAAGTCCCTTAAATAAATCAACCGAAATCAAAAACCAGGCTCAAGAACCTGTTTTTCAGGGTTTAGAGAAAAATGGAAAAGGTTTGCCATTGTGCCCGCTTTCCAGCTGCGTTATCAGTGGTTCTAACAAATTTAAAGCAATTAGTCCCCTTTATAAATTTCGATAGAACAATGAGAAGACGGAGTTGATCTGAAAAATGTGATGTATTTGCGCCACACATTTCGAACAATCTGGCCCTGACAAGTATATGTGTGACCAGATTGTTCAAAATAAATAGCGGAAATACATCACATTTTCAGATCAACTCCGTCCTACCTCACAAATCTCAACCAAGTTTTTTGGATTCCCATTCAAATAGTTGTTTACTGTAAATACTACTTTTCTGCCTTTCTTTCTGTATTTGTGATGGCTTACTTAGCAACCCAGGGTAAGCAACGACTAAATGTAATAATATCAGAGTATAGTCGCTGTTTACGTAGTCAGTTAATTACAGGTCAGCAGACAGTTTAATGGAACGCAGAGGCACATCTGTAGCCTACCTATGTATCTTTCATCCTAAACGCAGCATTAATTGTGGCCATAAATGTCAACAGCAAAACACCAGTCTGACTGTAAATGATATATGCAGACCAGATTTGTACAAACACAAATACAACATCAAACACTTTATTTGAACATACAACTCATACGATTCAGTGGTAAACTATACCAAGATGGACATCGCTTTTGGGCAAAAAATAGAGTGAATAAGTCTGAACATCTAAATAGTTGTATTCTGTTGCTTGTGGAACTCCTTATCTGAAGTAACAGTAGTGATAGCTTATGGAGGGTCTTTCGAAATAGGGCTCGACACTTACTTGAGTTGGACTTTCAGAATTACTCAGGGTTTGCTTAGCCACTTGTTTCATAATGACTTTTCGGTTAAGTTCCAAAGATGTAAAACAACAATTATGGCCCTTTGTCATGGGAAAAATCAATTGCTAACTATCAAGCAGTGGATTGTAAATAATAAGTGGTTCGCTACCTCTTCCAGCCAAAGTTTAAGGCATGATTGAAGACACTTTTAAACGAATGGAGCGAATTCCGCAGCTCGGACTGAGTGATATTCTGCGGAACTGTGCCTGTGTCTCTAAAAGGCCTGACAAAATGGGGTGTGATGATGGGGTCAACTGTTCTTCCGGTCAATAACATACGGCATTGAAGTATTTTTCTGATAGAGTTTATCCACCACCACAACAATAAACTCAAGCACTTGCATCCGGGTGAGACGGGCCCACTTCGATGTGTAATAGATACAAAACAATCAGTCCCAAAACGCGTGCAATATTTGTACGACCTCAGCTGTTGAGGTTACAAATCACAATTCAGAATAATCTGAATAATCATGAACTAAGGTTCACTCATACTGTTGAAAGCATACCATGCGGCTAACCTGATAAACAGAAAGAAGGTCAAAGCGAAAATATTTCCGTCATGTATACATGTCGATAATGGGCAACATAACAGAAGTCGTGATAAAGTTTACGTGCATAATAATTATTTGTCGCAACCACAGACTATCAGACCTACTCTCGCTTGTATCATCAAAAATGTACCAGCAACAAAGCACAAGTGGTCGAAAACTACACTTGTTGTTTTTGGCTCGTATATGTGCAACAATTCAGAAACTGATCAGCAACATCGTTTACAAGTAATAACCAACAAACCGCGCGGCTATTCCTGGAGGTCATTCCAACGTCAGGTTCAACTGCAGTTTCCGTTTTAAAAAGACAGAAAGCCAATTGTCCTGTGTTTGTCTTGACAATAAGGATGTTCAACTTTATTTTGAAAGCGTCATTAGATGAAGTTTCAACCATAAGTTCAGCAAATGAGTTGGCGATTCCGGTAATCAGCTTAGTTGTGGTTCTCCGAACACTTTCAGACAACTCACGGCCTCTTTTTGGGCAGAGGTCGCCTCCTGTATACAACGTCCGAGTTTAGGATGAAAGAATACTATACACAAAGTCGAATACGTTTTGGCACTGACATTTTTGAAGTTTCCACTTATTGACCATTGGTGTCCTAAAACATTCGGTAGCTGTCGCACATCAGTGTGCTGTAGTTTTTAAGCTTTGGCTGACAATGATTCCCAGGCCATTATGTGTCTCGACAGCAGGTAGCACAATGTCATTCACTGAGTATGTACCTGTACCTTGATGACCAATATGTATCATAACACACATAAAAACATTTATCAGTAACTGTCATATTCAACTTATCTATCCAGGTCATTTCAAAGCCATCTACCATCACCTTTACTTTTTATCGCTATCCATATATTGACGTCGTCAGCATATAACAAAACTGATTGCTATGGGAGACCCAGAAAGTCATGTACAAACAGTAAGGAAAAACACATCCCAAAACTGTACTCTGAGGCACTCTATTAAGTATAGTTTCCCATCTGGACAACTTCTAGTTTACCTGTACTCTTTGTTGATGCCTAACTGGGAAGTCCTCTATTGACATAATTTAGTTGCCTCTAATTCCGGTACACTTAATTAAGATAACAGCCTGTTATGAGGAACCTCGTCAAAAGCCCTACTGAAGCCAATGTAGGCTACGTCTATAGGTAATTTTTGATCATTAAAAACAAAAAATCTTTAACAAGCTACGGGTAGGTTAATGAGACCCGATTAACCTATTCTAAAGCCACAGTGGATTTCAGAAAGGATCCAGTTTTCATACAAAGGCTTAAACAACTTCTTTCAAAAAATTTTACCTGAAATCTTGACAACCACTCTCCGATGCTCCTCAAAGAAGCTTGTTGCGTGAACGATCTTTCTCCAGACCACGAGAGACGGTTAACTGTGATTGGTGGTGTTAGCACAACGCACATTATAATTCTTTTAGAAATCGCAGCAAACCCTGAAGCTTCCAAACCCCAGACCTTTCGTCACGAAAAACCTTTCGGTAAACTTTCCGTTAGCACGCGTTAATGGTAACCGTAGCTGGTGAACATAGTCGTCTGTGGAGTATCACTGATGTAAAGACGCAAGTTTTCTGTCTTAGCAACGCTGACGCAGAAATAAGAGTTCTTTTCGCCAATACCTCTCTCTTACAAACACGATGTACTACTTACAACATTTGTTGGCGTACAATGTGCTTCCCAAGTAGAGTCAATAAATAAATGAAATCAATAAAAATAAAAGGTAGTATATCCGTGCAGATATCTTATGAGTTATTAATTACGTTTATGTTTTAGTACTGCACTATGAGTGTTGACTTTATAATGTTTTAAAGAATGGCATCATGTCCAATTAGCGACCATGGGAAATGCGCACCGGATCCCAACTCGATATTACTGTGTAAAATTCTGGGCCTCCTAGGTATTTAAGCAATACATTTAAAGAAATTAATCGCTGTTATAAGGCACATATAAAGAGCGTTTTATAGGAGCTGTGACCTTTGAGATTGCGTATGTTAAGTTTATTCCTGGCGTCAAAATCTCCACCTCTGTACACCGAGCTTATGCTGCTGAAAAAAAAGAAAAAGGTGCAGCAAGGCATTTGAATACAACCAAAACAGTACTTAGCGGTTTCTATCAGAACAGACAAAAGTATGATAACTCATTAGATGAAACTCATACTAGCTACTGTCTCTGGAGTGAAATGTGGTTAGAGCCTTCAGAGGAATGAATACAGCAAAAAAGTGCAATAAGTTGTGATATGTAACAGGGTGTCATGGGTCAAAATGACAGAGAAGGAAGTCGAAGTTCAAATAATGATGGCTGTTTAAAAGAATAGAAAATGCAACAATGAGAGCAGTGTTCAGGAAAGCTAATAAATATATCCCTTACTGTCTATTTCTATTCTTTCTTCTTTTCCATCTGATGTCAGTCGCTAGGTCATAATGTAACAGTCTCAGTTAGCATGTTATGGGTTACATTAGTAAAATAAAGAATTTATCATAAAATTGGAGACATGAGTTTGTAGAATTACAGTCTAATGCGTTAAAAAACTGTTGTAATAATAAATCTAATCCCAAAGTTGTACATTTGTCATGATGTAAAGACTCAATCTGTTTGATCTTACATGGAAATCACATCGTTCTGACCGGGCTTTGGTGTCACCGGGAGAAAGTGACATTAGCTGAAATAAGAGAGGAGAAAGAGTCTTCATCTCAAATAATTTAGGAGATTCCCGCGACGATGAACATAAAGTATACCAATAAACGAGAGCACAAAATGTCAGAAAATATGAAAACAGTACTACACTATGTAAAAAATAACAATTAGGAAATGAAATGTGATCTTTCTACAAGGGTACAGACTCACAGTTTACGAATCGGTGTACCAGATCACGTAGGTCTCACCACTAAAGTTGCCACAAGTATTCGGAGTTTGACAACCCTTTAACACGTAACACCTTCCTAACCAAAGAATTTCAACCCAGTCAAATCATAAGTCAAGAATGAAAGAAATCGATGATATATTTGGAAGTTTATTGGTAAGTCGAGGAACATTACCACAGAGTAACCACTCGTGATCCGGTGACCGAACGCCTTCAGTTGGTGAATCCAGTTAAACTAATGCGGTCAACATCAAGTGTTGTCGATCTACAGAGCTAGTGATTTTGAGGATTTATTTACCGCTTGAAGCTGGTCAAACAACTGTCAAAACTACAGGTGGTTCTGTAGTCACAATGTAGTGTGTAAAACCATTGTTCCGGCCATGTTTTGTGAAGTTCATGGTGTTTGTCAATTGTCTGATGTAAGTATGGATCTTGCATATTTTAAACTGTTACCGGGCACACTAGCAACCAAAAAATGAAGTTCCTTGAGCCGATAAAGGACTATTTCCATCTACTGGCCTACGTTTACTTGAGTCAGCTAGTGTAACGTCCAAATTTTATGCTCACGTCCTTTAATAAAGCACGTTCGACTGACCTAATTGTAACCTACTAGCCCAAATAACAGTTGAAACAAATTACAATTTAGGCACCTTTTATGCAAGAACTATAAGTAATCAGCTCTAATTTATTGTTCTATTAGTAATTATAGCAATAAAAAAACAAACATGCAGTTTCTAGTTTTCCAGGCAAAAACGTCCAAAATACCAAACAAAAAACACAGTCAAACTAAAATTTCTCGACGTCAAAGCTGTAAATAAACAAGTTCAGAAGTTGAATAAAACAAACTCATTCCAAACGAAAAAATTATTGATATTAAGATTTCAGATTCAGACTTTTGGACAGGAGGCTTACGGCTTACGTTATTTCTTCTCTAGCATGCTTCTGCTAGTGTCTAGTCTTCTCTTGAATGAGTCAATAGAAGGTGCTAACAGCACGGCTTCGAGATAAAGGTTCCAAAACTTGATGAGTCGATATAAAACCTCTAATACACCGGTTTTTTGTGGTCTGTTAGCTTTTCTACCCGATCTTCACCCACCTGTTCTGTTCAAATTTGAGTTTTCTATAGACGCTATTGAGTTTCTAACGTTCGCCAATACTATGAGATAAGAACAGATTTTCAAGGGTCAGAGAAAAGCATGAATAGCTAGTTACAAACCATTAGAGTCCAACTCACAAACGAATCATAATCCCAAAGGTCGTAGAATGAAGTTCAATTCTAAGAGAACCTCTGACTTTACAAACGTGCCACCTCTGATAAACTCTCAGAATCTCTTAAAGTTTGGAACCTAGAAGAGAGTAACTTGAATGAAAGTGGCGTCCGTCCTCTTAAAATGTTGATTTAGATCTAACCCTAGGTAATTGGGCTGATAACGAATCAAATAATGCAGTTCGAATTCCTATCAGTGTGACGCCCAGTTACAGTAACTGTTACAGCTTGCGTGAGAAATATTCATATTCTTTATACAAATGACCACGAACTGAGCGTCAAGATATGTAGGGCCAGTGAAATTTCACTGAGCCCTAGCCAAATCATCTGGTGGTTGAGACACTGAATATCGAAAGGATCACCGATCCCTGTCAAAGTCAAGGACAACCAACGCGCAGCAGTTAACAGTATGCCATGAACTGACCCATGCGGTTTTGGTCTCACTATCTTCGCTGCACTCATTCCTACTAATATATTTTCATGCTAACGTCTTTTGTGTTATTTTGTCTACAAGGCAGTCATAATACTTTGATGCGTCAAAATGGTAATTCACGTTAGGTGCTGATTGCGAGGTATGAATTCGAAATTGGCTGGTTCGTCGCACCTTTCCCGTCTCGAGTAGTCCCCCGAACATTCAGCATAGACCACCTAGTTAGTGATCTACATTGACGAGGAAGACTTCGAATAACGCAAACTGTCATTATGATCTCTATTATTGCATTCCATGTTTATTATTTTTCATTTTCTGTCGTTGCCGATGTTAATCAATTACCGTGAACATTCAATGCTTCAGGTCGATGCTGATTAGTATTTTGCCGTAGACCAAAAATTATATTAACTCGAAAATGCTAATAAAGTTATTACGTCTAAGAATCAATGTTTTATTTATTTACACAAGGAAATGTTACCGGCCCTTACTTTAATTGGCAGGCGTTGGAGTGTTTGAGCTGCATTTGGTATAATAATCCACAATTATGGGTGTTAATAATTCCAGTGAAGGTTGTTATAATTCCAGCGGTACAGCCACATGGGATATTTAATGGAAAAATGACTGTGGTCTATAAATGTAGATAATAAATAT